ATCTGAGACCGCGGAACCACTTGTGTCAGGGGCCACGTCGTCCAGGCCCTTCAAGGCCCTGGCCCTTTTTACTTGCTGTGGGGAAATTTTAAGCCCATCGATCGACGGCGAGTGAAGAGGGCCAGGGCCTAGAAGGCCCTGAAAAATAGTCCAAGAGGGCCGAGTGGTAGTACTTCGGGCCAAATTCATCCGGTACTAGTGACCATGGGTAAAAAAAGGCCTGCGCTGGCCCCTCGTTCCTGGCCCACCACTGAAATCCGGGCACACCCAAAGTCACCTTGACTAAAGTGCTTATAGGAAATCGCAGTGTGTCTGACATGGCGGCCTGAGTTCTTACTGTATTTAAAACTCAGGTCGCGGCTGAGCTGCAAAAAGTGCCAAAAACTAGTTTCTTTCTTTCTTTTTTTTTTTTGCCTCTGTTGGTATGGACCCTTTTTTCTCGATTTATGTGTGTCATCCTAAGCTTGCGCAGGCGCCATGTTAGTATTATTTCTCTGTATCCTTGCGCGGATGTCCAGAAAGACATGACAACAACAACCACCAAAAAAAAAGAAAAAAAAAGAAAAAAAAAAGAAAAAAGAAAAAGAAAAGGACAAGACCCTTTTTCTTGTTTTTGACAGGATACTCATTTTCTTTCCCCTAATCCAACAGACTGGATCTTTCCATCTGTTCAACGAACTTCATCCACCTTTGCACGAGTGTATCATCAGCCAACTAGCGGCTACATTAAGATCTGTCTTTGGATTTTGAATCTTTTTGATCTGTTTGTCGGATCTTATGGGCAGTCAGAAGGACACTTTTTTCTTGTTTTGGACTGGATCCTCGTCTTCGTTCCCCTGATACAGGATTTGGGGCGTTGCCGCACGGCACGCGAAACAAAAAACGAAACAACTGAATCTTCCCACAGAAAATGGCCAGGTTCGTCGGTTTGCTATAAATGGTAACGAGTGTATTTTGCCACCTTTCTTGGGAAGATGCACTCGTTTCGTTTTCATTTCGTGCGCCGTGCGGCGGGACCCTTGATCTATTGATTTGTTGGGTCCCGCTCCACTACACACTAGACTCACGAAAAAAATTGTGAGTGCTTCTATAGCTGTCAGAGGTCTAGAACTCTTGAAAAAAGAAGCATCGCTCCACTTACTCCAGACTCAAGAACTATAGAAGCACTCACAAATTTATCAGCGGTTCATGACAGCCCTTCTACAGTGCTAGATGACAGCGCCAGCTCGTTCTGATGGTCGGAGCAGGAGGCACACTCACGAAAAAAGAGGCCGGAGTGGGAGTAGGAGGGAGGACGCTAGAAAACGTGAGCGTTGCAGGCTGTGCACTGTCATGAGGAAGGACGCTATACAAATCGAGACGAGAGTGGGAGTAGGAGGGAGGACGCTATACAAATCGAGATGGGAGTGCCCTTCAGGAGTGCTTTCTGACAGACAGCTCTCGAAGGAAGGGTGTTGTCATGAGTTCCAGTGTACTAGAACTCAGTGGAGCGAGGGCGACGCCCCTTTATTGGACTCCATCCACAGTCCCGTGTTCATCATTCAGCTACCTAGCAGCTGCATTTATGATCCGTCTTTTTCTCTGTTTGTCAGATTTTGTACACAGTCACATCTCTGTCTAGGTCAGACAACTAGCAGCTATATTAAGATCTGTCTTTTAATCTGTTTACAGGATTTTATATACAGTATCATCAAATCTTTTTTTTTTCTTTTTCTTTTCTTCTTTTTTCCATTCAGATCTCTTTTTTAATCTGTTTATCAGAACCTTATCCAGCTTTATAAACAGTTAGATATATCATGCGGCCAACTACAGTTGTCACCCGAATACAACACCTGGTCATTTCGCTGCATCTGGACCGAATGTTATGCCAAATACAGCAACAATGATGCGGCATTCTAGTCAGGTGAAGATGGGAGCAGCTACATCAAGATCCGTCTTCTGATCTGTTTACCAGATTTTATACACAGTCACTTGTCTGTATCATTCAGCTGACTAGCGACTACATTAGGATCTGCCTGCTCGTTAGCACGTCACAGGGACAAAGAAGCTCAAATCTTTTCGTTTCCAGGAAAAAAGGAAAAAAAACAGACACCGCGGATTTTAATTTCTAGCTGAACGTTGAAATTTGAAACTACTAGAGGGAACAACAGTGCTCGTGCCCAAACGCAGTGGTGAGCATGGGTTTATATGGGGCACAAATATTCAGGTGGACTTAATTATGCCTGGGTACATCTCCATGGGGCCCACATCAACTTCAAACTTTTACGAGGATGTGCTGACAGCCTGACACTATTATTTGTGAAAAAGGCTCTTAGCAGGGTTGACCTTCCAGCACATGAGCCATCTCTTTCATAAAACTTTTAATTTAAAAAAAAAA